GGGGGGGGGGGGGGGGGGGGGGGGGGGGGGTGGATTTAACCATTTGACATGTTCCATTTTTAGATAATGTTTTTTATATTTTACTCATTTAAACCGTTATAAGTAAAATATGATTAAATTTGTTCCATTTAGTCATTTGAACCGTTATAAGTAAAATATAACTGAATTTGTTTCATATTTTATATTTTCTAAGCTTAGTGGAATAATAAAATAAAAGTTTTCATACTTGTTTATTCAACTTTTAGTTTTACTTCTACCAATCATGTGTGATAAATATTAGTTTGTTCAGTGTTTTCGGAAAATAACCATTTTGTCTTGAATTGGTAAATGATAATTTTCACATCTCTTTAACTGTTCCATTAAACTACGAAAATTCATAATGAAGTTGAAGTTTGTTGTTCGGTTGTTTGGGTCTAAATTTTAAAACACATTTTTAACAACATTTTGGACAATTGCAATATTGTACTTTCAAATGAATAAATTGATGTTTGAAGCTACACAAATCAAACACAACAATTCTCTTTTTGAATCGTACAGTACAAACATGTTATGCATAAAAACTTGAAGGAAATAAGGTTAAAAACATAATTTTTGGCTTAAAGAATCATTATGTAGCCATGGTTGGAAATATGTCTAGTATAGAAAACCTTTTTAACACCACACACTTCGACTTTATTCGGGGCATGAGCACCCAACCCACACCTCCTACATTCATTACTTACCTTCAATATTCATTGTCACCATTATATTCATATTTTTCGCCTCTTCCTCCTTTTTATACTTTTCACCAATAGCCAGTCGGTCCTTCTGTGACATCCCCTAATTTCTCGGCCAGAAAAGACCGATTTAATTTATGTTTTTTAAAATAAAATCAGAGAAATCTTTTTAAAAGATGTTGCGGAATTGGTCCCCAAAACAAAATATGATAAAAGTTTGTCAAAGCCTTTCTTTAAGAAATATATAATTTCATTTCATATCAAAACCTCGGGATGTCATGTTCCGATACAGATCA